AATTCGTATCAAAAGTGATTCAGAATTTACTTGTTGAGAAGGGAATTTCAATGGAGACAATTTCTATATGACTAAATGGAAAATAAAAGTAGAGATGACAGGTATTTTTATAAAAATGATAAAAAAGTTTGAAATATAAAATACTAAGTTTTTATTTAAATTTTTATACAAGGTAACACTTTTTTTTGCTAATCAGAAAATGAGTTACATGGCACAACTATTTTGCCAAAGAAAGGTATAACTAGCAGTTTATCACAAAACCTAACAAAAAAAACAGTAACAACAATTAAAAAATAGAAATAAGGAACTGAAAAAAAAAAATATAAAATATTGGCAAGAGCAATTGCAACAAGATCTCCCTGCTTTGTTAGCACTAGAGAATCAATAAAAAAAAAACCAAGGCAATAGCAGTACTGCAGAAAATTTAAATTATACAGGTGTATATTTTAATTTAGAAACAAATGATCATGAATAGCAATAAATTATAAATAATAAAAATGTAAACTATTAATTAAATATTTATAAATAAAACCTAAAAATAGCAAGTAAACATTAGATAGGGAAAAATGAATAAAAAAAAAAAAACATCATGATTAAAAAAATTATCAGATTAACTGAATGGATTTAGATCAAATAAAAATAAATCTGTTCAGATATAGATTAGATTAAATAAAAACTGATCTGATCAGATTTGAATCAGATTTATCTAAAATCCAATCCAATTTGATTTATTGTGATTCTTACTTATTGGTTACCTTATATGTTTAAATGCATTTCCTCAATTCCATAAGAACCTGGAGTTCACTATGAATAATATATGCTAGTGCGAGTAAATACAGAACACAAATCATCACATCATTGAATACAAAAAAGAGCATACCTTTCCACAGACCGATTGTCTGGCCAGGACACAAAAGAAGGACTAGCTTACTCACACTTGTCAATAAAGACAAATCTCAGCCTGGTACAATACTGAAAGCACAAGACAGGTTACAAATAGGCAAGAATCGAGTGGCATAATATCCTTTACACAAGACCGAACCCTAACTGAATAATAAAACAAGTCAAGATACAAGATATGACAAATTTTTTTTTCTTTTTTTTTCTCAAGCACTAATGAGGTCTTCTTGTATAAGGGACTCTAATACCAGTGGTATTAAATATTTTAGGTAAGTTCTTGGCATGTTAGTTTTCCTCAGCAGGAATAGTAACAGGTCATCTGGTGAGCAAAACCCTAGGAGGTATTGATTTTAGAGGTAGGTTTAAGGTTGGGTTCACTTCAACAAAGTTGATTTCACATTTTTTATAGCTTAATTAGAGTTTAGAAAAAGTTCTACACTAAACAATCAATAGTTATCTCATCCTGATTGGGTGAGATGTAAATAGATATCCCTTATACTATTCATTAATCTGTAAATCCCTAGGCAATAAGGATGATTAGTCATCCCAGTTGTCCATAGGACATATCTTGATTTTAATAAAATATATGAACTGATGTGAAAATGAGCCAGTATTTAAAAAAAAAAAATTAATTATTTTATTTGAATTGAAACTTTTTTTATAGATCCCTGATCACTAATTTCAAAGAAGTATTTCTTCAAAACTTTATATTTTGAGAGTAATAAAACTTCAAAACTTTCTTTAAAACACCTGTTTCATTTAGCAATAGTTATATTCTATCTTTTTTATTTACTTTTTTTCTTTAAAAACTTTCTATCTAAAAAGTTAATGACAAAAAAACTTTTCTAGAAAAAAGAAACCAGATGAAAAAATATTTTTCTTCTTTTTCCTATAAAGGTTTTAAAGTCTAGAAAAAAGTGTGAATCAATAACTATATACTAGCCTGAGAAACTAACATCATTATCATAGATAGAAATAGCTTCTCTTTTAGTATATAGCAGTTTTTTCTTGATTTTTCTGAGGAATTTTATCTATCCTAGTTTGACTTTGAATTTTTTATTACATTGAGTTTTGGATGAATTGATTGACTGAAGATTGGAATTAGTTGCTTTATAATTAGCAGAAATGTAAACAAGGATATACATAACATATAACGTAAATATATTTTTTAAACTTCATAAGAACTTTAGGTTTAATATAAGTTATATACTAAATATACAAATGAATAAATATTATATAAATTGTGATTTCTTCTTTCTTATTACTCTTCAAAAGTATTATGGCTATAGAATAAGTATCTTTTCTATTGAAATGGAACTTCAAAAACTTATTCTACTCATAAAAGTATAACCATTTTTTCATTTCAAAATTACTTTAGGGTTTTTCTATTCTGATCCAAATAGTTTTTTTATTCTTGTATAATATAAAATACTATTAAAAATGGGTTCTTAAAGGAGGAGGTAGAAACAAAAATCAAATATCTCTCACTAGAAAATATTAAAATTTTTAAATTAATAACTATAAAAAAACTATCTATAATTGTTTTCTATTATCCAAATTATTGATTTATAGCATTTCCTAACTTTTGTCTTTATTAAAATAAAGAGCTATAAATTTTGTTTCTCAAAAAGGAACATAAGTAATCTACAAAATTTTATATACTAAATACTTTAGGAACCCATTATTAAATATTACTGAATTTATACTTTTTATCTAATATATATAGTATTAATAATAGGCTATAATTATCAAGATTATAAAAAAGGTTTATTTATCTTTTCAAGAAACTAGCAAGTTTATTATAGTATATTAGTTGAAAGGGATTTGAAAGGATTAAAGATCTAATAAAAAGTGTTTGGTTTTTTTCTAAATAGTGGTAGTAGTAGAAATTTAATCCAATCAGATATTTTTGAGTAATAAGCCATTTAGTAAATTTGTTAAAGATCAGGTTTAAAGGAGTTTAGTGATATAAATAATATATGACTCCACATGACAATCTTTGTAATCTCTGTATTAATTTGTATATTACTTTATAAAAATCAATAAACATGGCTAAGCTTTTGTTTCAAAGACTATTTAGTCTAATTAAATCTATATATTTATGAATAGTTATCAAATTTAACTAAAACAATTATGATAAATTATTATTATTATTATTATTATTTTTTAAAGTCATTACTGACGGAAGTTTATTAAAGTTAAGATTAGAAGTACATATGATTACATGAGCAATTCGTATAATTAATTTAAGTGCTATTTAATCTCATATCTTATAAACCTACTTAATTTTACCTGAAGGTACCATTATATCAGTATGCCCTGCTCTGTTTGGACCATGATGTTCACAAGGATCCATCACGAACTTGTATTATTTATATTATCGAAGGCTAGGATATGTTACCATTATGTAGAGGTATTGAAACTGTTTGTGTTCTGATATAAATATCATACCATATTTAGACTGCTAGAGTTACTGGTTATTATCCAGAACTTATGATTTGATGTGAGATCCCAGCGGCTGAATGGTATACCATGTTCGACTTTCGTCTTCCATTTAGCCATTTTTAACTACTCTTTAAATAGGGTCTTTCAGGGACTTCTCTTGATTACTTCATAGCAGATTGCTCTTCCCATTGGATTGGTTACCTTGGTGATTGTTTTTGAATTTCTTCTCTCAAGGTCTGCTCTTGAATTTTCCTATTGTGAGTCTTGATTCAACATCACTCGACCTTGGTAGGTTAGGTCATCCTTTTGTGGTAGCCGTTGGTGATCGACAACGTATATCTCCCAGTATGTATCTGGCCCATTACGTCTTCGACTGGTGCAAGAGACCAAGGTCTTCCAGTCTTCCACAAGTGAGTTTTTTGAGAAGAGGTAAATATCGACATCTAGATCATCGGAAGTGGACCAATCAGTTTTTTTCTTCAGTTTTTATATATTCCAATCGGCATGATGTTGTTATGGTAGGCACTAAGACTGGTCAAAACCTGTGTGACCTGTTTGAGAACTATGGTCAGACGGTAAATTTCTTTAGGTGGTATAGTTCCCCATGACTGCACATTGTGATGTGGTACAGTCTGGAAAAGCCTCATCTAAATTGTATGTGTCATTCTTGAGTGGGATTGAATAGGCACATGGTGGATGGTAACCTGGAAGTGCACCCACTGCACTATTGATCCACAGATCTTTTATAATAAATTATTATTAATCTATATATTATATATATAGTATATTAAAGCTTGTTTGATAATTGATTTAGATTTTCAATAAAATTATTAAAAAGAAAAAATTTTAGAAAAAAAAAATCAATAGAAAAAGTTTTTTTTAACTGTTTCTAATAAATTAACTTGTATTTGTTTTCAGAAAAAAATTGTTATATAAATTTTCTTGGTTTAATAAGTACTTTTAATAAATCAACAATAAAGCTCAACTATTTTTTTGATATACATATACATTATATACTATATATATAACAATTTAAAATTTTTTAAAAATCAATTAACAGTTAATTATATTTTTTTTAATAAAATATAAGACATAGAAACTTTTGGCTTTATTATTATTGATTTCTCTTATTTGAAAGTTCCGCCATTACAAATTCAGCTGTTCTAAAAAAACAATAAATGAATAAATAATTTTAAAAAGGATGCACCTTCTTAAAAAATAAGTCATTAAAAAACTTAAAAATAGCGTTGCATAATTTGCCCTTCCCGTAAGTATGTCAAGATATAAAAAACAGACATGTGACCAGATAGCATGTATATATATATGGTTATTTATTCGACCGTCTCTATTTTCATAAAACACAAATTTTGTCATCATGCATGTGCTTAAAAAAAAAAAAATTTCATCATAGTTATAACATATGAAAATGGATCAAATGAATTTGTTCTCTTATTTAATCAGACACGATTCTTATTTAAATTTTAAGAAATTTTAAACATTCAAAAATAATATTATTATTCAGATCCCACAATCAATTAAATAGTTTTATGTTGTGTGGTTTCAAACTACAATAAAACGAGCTATCAATCGGTGGATACAGCATAGTTCAAAATTTTTTCATAGTTTTATCAAGCACGACATACGATCCCACGAAAATGTCTACCGAATGTCCGGAACTAATCGCACACTGGTATATTTTTTTCTTTTCGTTTTAATGGGTGGATCAAGATCGATTTCAAACATCCAGCTTTCACAAACTTCTATAGGTTTCATGCAATAGACGTTCCCCGAAGTGATCCAATTAAAAAGTCCACAACCAACATTGTAAGGTCGCCTCAGGAAGCCGCTAGTCCAACCGTTCCAAAAACAAAACAACCGTCGAATTGGGTTCCATTTTCTAAACGTGACAATGCCGCTCTGGAACAGGCTTTTAAATCTGGTAATCCGAAACAGGTTCCCTGTAATGAGGATTATCTATTCGAAGTCGATATCGACAAACGTGAAATCCGTCCGGTAGGATCGAAGATACTCTCGCACTTCCCAGTTATCATCTGTGTGAGTTCGGTGATTGACCAAAAGGATTTTCCAATATAGATATATTGGCTAGGACCTGTATATGAAGTTAAACGCGCCACATGGTTCCAACAAGGCGATGGCGGAAAGTTTTTTCCATGCGATGAAAATCTAGCGACACAAATCGAGGAAGGATACAGGTAACTGATTGTATAACATTAATTTACTTTATGCGCAATTGTATATTAAAATTCCACGGCCACTAGAAATCGTAAAGTTTGGCTCCCACATCCCGACCCGGATCCTAATAATCCTAATGGGTCAGAGCCGGTCGAGAAAAGCTGCCCGTTGTTTGGCAAATATCTATCTCAATATGTGACCTACACAAACCAAACGACCGCGTGGCTGTTGACGTAAGCACCCGGTCACATCACATTTTAGATTCGCACTATTCGACTTTAGACTTTGGTCACGAACCATTAAAATCTTACCCGCCGTCTCACTTATTAGCGACGACGTGACTGGAAGGTTCACCAAAACGTTATTTTCCACCCTCACCAACAATGTAAATTTGGGAGGGATTCGTCTCGTCCGAGGTTATAATGAGGTGAAAAAATACACGTCACAAAATCAAAAAGACGGCGGAGAAAAGAAGAAAAAAGAAGAATTGGATATTGAGATCAGAAGTGTTGCTGCTTCTGATGACCAAGTAAAAGAAAGAGATATTAAACAAGAGTTCATTGAAAGTCAAGATTATGAAAATGAAGAAAGCGAAGAGGAAGAAAGGGCTATTGACCATTTAATTTTAGTCATTCATGGGTAAGTCGATAACTGTGCTTAGTTATTGAGGTCTTCATGCCGATTACAATGTGAATGAACAAATACCTCTAAAGGATCGGTCAGAAATTGAGCGAGAGGATGGACGCAATAAATTTTGTTCATGGTATGAGTTTTTTAATTAATTTGTGCACGAGCCTAGCTTTCACAAATATAGCAATTGAACACACCGTTTTGCTCGTAATTTTTAAGATGTCAATGTTCTGAGGAAGACCATAAAAACAATTTTTAAAACGAATCCTGAGGTTTTCCCCCACGGTTCTCACACGAGAACGGGTTCGAATGCAAATCCAAGCAAACGTAACTCCGCGCCATCGGAAAAAGGGGCACATTTGAGAAATGGCGTTCAAGTGTTGCCCATACAATGGCGTCAGGAAATTAAGGTTTGATGCTAAATCATATTGACTTTCAAAATTTTATTCAAGTGGAGATTTCATATGTGTTATGTTTATTTTTCACAAGTTTGGCATGGCATCTGAAGATGAAAATATCCAAAGGGATTTGGGTATGCCTGAGGTAGCGGAAGAAGGTCAAACTACTCTTGATGAAATTACCCTTGATGGCGTTCCAACCTTGAGAATGTTGATCTCTGATGTATTAATGGATGGTGAGTTTAAAAAAGAAAAAAAGGACTCATAATTTTCGCGATCGATTTTCACCATATTTCATTTCAATCATCTCATCAAATCCAACTCGCTCTTATATACGAAAATGCTTGATCAGTACTATTATACATGACTCCGCGATATCGCGAGGTCATGATCAGCACGGTTACAAACGAAGCCAACCGAGTTTATAATGCGTTTATCCAAAGAAACCCCAAGTTCCTTGAAAATGGTGGGAGGGTATCAATATACGGTCATTCATTAGGTTCCGTGTTGGCTTTTGACGTCCTATGTCACCAACCACCAATCGTTTCTTCAACGGCCTTTGGTATATTTAGCGAGACTGCAAAAACATCAAATGTGAATCAGATAAACCATGATTCTGTGAAATTGTGTTTCAAAGTGCACAATTTCTTTGCATCCGGCTCACCCATGTACGTTCAACCCACGAACCATTCATTTACTCAAACCAAGGTTTCAATTTTCTAAAATTGGGCTACTGCAATTCACCTGCAGCGGCCTATTCTTGTTACTTAAAGGTCTCAAGATTTCGTCGAGGAAAAATCGCGACAAGGAAAACCAAGGTCAAATGATTGCCGGTGCCGCCGTGCAATTAGGAATGGAGGTACCTTCATCGGTGGCAGATCACATCCCATTGTGTTACCCCGCAGCAAGAAATATTTATAATATTTTTCATAATGCAGGTAACCCTCTTTTTTTTTCTAAAAAAAAAAAAAAGAATTAATAATAATGAGAATTTTCTAAATATTTGTTTCATGTTTATCGTGAAGATCCTATCGCGTATCGTCTGGGTAAGTAAAATTTGAAATCAAGATCACCATCGAATTTTCATCAGAATTTCTCATTAATTTTTGCAAACGATAGAGCCACTTATTGCAAGAAATTATGGTTCCGGTTTAAAACCGGCCCTTATACCATATCACAAAGGTGGACTTAGAGCTGTTCATCTTGGAATTCAGGAATTTGGAAATGATCTTGCGACAAAAGCCACAAATATCTTTTCAACCGTAAGGACATCATTGATATTCACAAAAGGGCTTCAAGTCTTGGGGGCTAACCCCTCACATAAACGCTCAGCATCAACTCCTGTCACAAATGCCGATAACGAAACTTCCGGTTCGGCGCTGACAAATTACCCGCCAACACTATTTGCTCAGCCGACATCTGCTTCCGAGAAAGAAAAGGAAGATCCGGAGGGCGCGGAAAAACTTAAAAGTTTAAATTGTTCGGGAAGAATTGATTACGTTTTGCAGGTATCAAAGTTGACAATTTTTTAATGGTGATGGTTTTCATCGTCGTCGATCCCACTCGTCTCACTCACCCCTAACCCTGTTAATCCAAAGGAGGGTATCCTTGACGTAGGTTACATTAATGCCATCACGGTACACCTGAGTTATTGGTCAGACTTGGATGCAGTCAGCTTCATTTTGAAGGAGATTTACAGAGAATGTCCGGATGAAGGAGTCGATGATGACGAGGTCGAATTGTGTTCAGACGCAAAGTAAAATTTTTAGATGGACGTCCTTGATTCAATAATTACTGGACGAGGATTGCATGGAGATCTATCGCCGCATCAATAATTTATTAAGATTTATTGCTAATTCCTAAAAAACTTTTTAACTGCCTAAAAAAAAAAAAAAGAGGAATAACGGATTGTGGTGGGACATTCTGCATTTGTTAGATTAATAGAATCATAATAATTATTAATATATTTGTGACCTCGTTTCATTTTTTCTAACTGACGATGAATTATAGTGTATCGGAATTTTTCTTTTTTTATTCACATAAAATTTTATAAAATATATACAGGTAGAAATCTAAAGTTCCTAGAATTTGAAAATCTAAATGAATCTAACTAAATGTGATGAAAGTGAGAAAATTTTTTTTTTTTACATCAGGCGATACATTCATCAGCCCATTTATATACTGCATATAGAAGCAAATCAAGGTTATCGATTAGTTACCAGAGATTATAGATGTTCCTGGTCTTTTGCTTGACAATAGTCAAATAATTCCTTGCATCCTCCAAAACGAAAGGGCTCGCAGTTTCGGTGAATCCGTAACTGTGAGCCAAATATAGTTTTATATCCTTCAGATTTTTATTTTCCTTGGTGTACTGAATCAGTATGGAGAACAATTCATACTCTTTATTTTGTATTTGATGTAACTCCAGTATACTCAGTTTAGCCTGGCATTCGGTTAACAAAATCCTCAGTGCTTGCGAGGAAATGTTAAAGTTCAGGAAGAGGGCACAAAGTGAAGGTGGTATGGACCGTGAGAATTGCAATAGCGTCTCCGAAGTGAACAAATATTGTTCCTGATTTCCCAAGATTAACGTCTCCAACAGTGACAAGGCGGAGAGCAGTCTTGGTAAAGATTGAAAGATATCTTGGTAGGCACAAATGGATAGGTGAGTGATCTGCGGGCAATTCTCGGTGACCGCCTCTATTATCTCTGGAGTTGCACCCTCGACCACTAATTTTTGCAGATTTAAATTAATCATCTTGAGCAGACCGTTTGTGATGAAAGGATACGATCCATAGCCGTTGCCGACGTGCACATTTCGGATTTTCAACTGACCATTTGGGAAATTCTCGGCTAAGGAAGACACCGGGCAACCCATCAATTCAAATGTCCTCAGAGCATTCCATTCTAACAATCCTATTATCAATGAATCGTCGAAGTGTGTCAGACCCCAGAGGCGAAGTCGTGTCAGTGAACGTGATTGGTTGAGCAAAGCCTTGAACAGGGAGCTTTCCCTTGCATCCCAAAAATAATTGGACATGAATGATTGCAACATCTTTTGCGATTCAATCATCCGATACAGACTATTATGAACTGAGGTTGGCAAGCCCGTAGTGTAAGATTGCATTCTAATCTCCTGAATGTTTGTTGCATGAATTGACATCATGGTGAACAGGCTCGTCAAGATGTTGCTATTTTCTCGTAAGTTAGGTCCTTCGTTCAAAGAGGGAGCCCGAATGGTCAATTCAAATCTTTGAAGATTCAGCAGAGCATTGTGACATTCGGTGAGCAAAGCGAAATCCATATCAACCAGTGATAGGGTATGTTCATCACCGACGTAAACCTTGAGACTCTTTAGTCTATTACATCGACTGAATATTAAATGAGTGATTTCTTTGGTTACGCTGCATCTCGGGTGTTGTGAATAATAATCCTTTATTGCCGGTTCCAGGCATTTGTTCAATGCCTTGTGAAATATGTTTTTCGGGTAAGTTATATAGCAATCTTTGACTATGGGTCCTAGAATTCGCTTCAGCGGTCTGCAGAAAACGTTGAGTGGGTCGACATAATTTCCGTTCATTATCGCCATTCCCATCCATGTGTTGAGAGCTTGACGAAATTTGTCGGAATCAAAGTTTTGCAGGTAACTCGGATAGTCGAAGAATGGTTTGGGATAGTCAACCAACTTTATGCCTGCGTACACCAAACGGGATTTCGCGTTGCTCGAAAGGCAGATGGCGTAGGTTTGGATTATCATTTGGTATCGTTCTTTAGCAGCCATCTCGAATGGTTGTCGCCATAACAGAGGAATCGCTTTACAACACCACAACCGGCTAACACGAACCAAAGAATAAAGCGTCTTCGGATCATCACTGAAATATTCAAAAATTTCATAAAGAATATCAGCCGAAAATATCGATGGAGACATATATTTATTTGTCCGGATAAATGGTGCTCGAAATTCAGGGCATCTAATTTACCTTCACAAGTTTTTGTGCGTACTCAAATAATTACATTTTAACCAAAGTATTTACTTTATTGGAAGTTCCGCGTTACACGTAATCCCAAATCAGTTAATACATTGTAATTACTTATTATATTACTACTGGTTGTTTTTTGTGTTGTGAAGTACGCGATCTAAAGTTGTATTGTTGTAGCGACAGAGGATGACGAGATACCGAAATCTCAGACAATTAAAGTTCTGCAAACCAAACAAACCACAATCCAAAAAAAGTTAACCGCCACCAAAAACGTAAAAATGTTTTAGATAATTAAAAACTCTATTTCAGGATAGCTTACATCGATGCGTACCATTACGTAATGTCATAAGAGATTTCTTGTTACGGTTCGCATTGTAATGATAAAATTGATGGAAATTGATGTAAATTGATGGAAGAGCAAAACAATGTTCATTTTCGTTCAATAAAATGTCTAATGTTACTTACAATAGTAATTTCAACTACGTTTGTATTCATTATCATAAGCTATAAATTATTTTAATATGTCCATTTTAGAAATACAACGTAAAAGTTATTGTTTATATATTTTTATTGTTTGCAATTACAAATATAATTAATATTAAATTTTGAAGTTTTTTTTTTGTTTGGCTTTTTCAATTAAGAATTAAAATATAATATTAATATTATAATATATACAGTATATACAGTATACAGTATATGCATTATATTATTATTAAATATGTAGTAATATAGAAATTCAAAATTTATCATAATATAATTATAATTTTGATTCAACTATATTTTATTTTATTATATTATCCAATAAATATAAACAAAATTCAATGACATATGTTATTTGACAGTCAAATTATTGTTGAATTTGAATTTATTAACAAAAACATAGATCAATCCTTTTTTATTACTATCATTCATTATATAAAATATCAACAATATTTTAGCAAAAAAATCAGTAAATCAAATTTGACAATAAATTAATGCCAAATTTGGTACAACTGTAACAAAACAATTTACATATTACAGAAAAAAATTTTATAAAAAATTTACATATTGCAACAAACAATTTAATAAAAAATTTATATATTATAGTAAAAAATTTAACAAAAAACTAGCATATTATAGCAAAAATATTTATATAATTAATTTTAAAATTTGTATTAAAATAGTATTTAAATTCAACACTATTTAACAAATTTTATGAAATTTATAAATTACTTAACTAAACCATTTATTATTTTTTACTTCTTTTTTTTCTTTTTTACTTATATTTCTATTTTTTTTTAAAGATTTTAGTTTGACTCTTTTAAAACTTGTTTTCAATTAATTTTACTTTGTCAAATTTTATTTGAGTTTTTTTATTTTTTTATTTTAATTTTTTAATTGTTTTCTAAATTTTATTTATTTAAATACTTTCTTCAATTTTATATTTCTTATCTTTTGAATATATTAATAATTTTTTATCATTTAAGTTTAATTATTAATTTTTATTTTTTTTATTTTATTTTTTTATTTTTCATATTTTAAAATCTCTTTCAAACTATATATTCGATTCAATAAATTTTCTGATAATATTATATTATAAATTATTATAATATTATTTATAAGTCAATTGAAATACTTAAATTGATTTTAAATATTTATTCAAATATTTCAATAAATTCTTTAATTTTAAATAAGTATAATTAATATTATAATTATTTAACATAAAATATTTTGTTAAGAAATACTTTATCAAAATATTAATTGTAATTATATATATTTATTTTTTTAAATAAATAAACTTTTTATTTTTTAATTATATTTGTTAATTTATTTTAATATTTAACAAATTGTTTTAGATTTTTATTTAATAATTAACTATATACCTTTAATTATATATATATTATTTATTAAAAAATTTATACTTGAAGGTCATATACTATTTATATAAAATATTATTAGTCATATATTATAAGTAACAATTGTTTACTTTTAGTTTTTTGTTTTTATTTTTTAATATTTTTATTTCTAATAATAATATTTATTTATTTATTTATTTTTATAAAGAATTAAAATATAAAACTATTGATTTTATTAACTTAAATATCAACTTTTGTATTATTTATTTTATTAATATTATTAAAAATTTTTTTCATTTATCTTTAATTTATATTTATTAGAAATAGATTTTATTAAAATTCTTATTTTAGTTCTTATTTTTTTAGTTTTAGCATATTTTTAATAATCACTTTAATTAATTTTGATAGTTTTATTTTTTGTTATTAAATTTAATTCTTCAGTGTTTTTCTAAATCTAATAAACTTTTGAATTTTAGTATCTTAACTACTTTAGGTTTCACAACTATTATATAATCAAATTTAAGTTTTATAAATTTTATAAATATAAATTAATTAATTTTTTTTTAAGTCTTTTATTTTTTTATAGTTCTAATTTTTTGAAAAACCATTTGTTTATATATTTTATTAAATCTAATTGTTTCTTAAATTTAACATTTTTTTAATTATTTTATTCTATATATAATTTTTTATTTTTTAAATAAATAAAATAAATTAATAAATAATTGATCTATGGATCTATAGTATAGTAGTAGTGTTTTTAGGTCACAATTATAAGATCCAGAATTCAACACTACCTGAGGACCAAGTGAAAAATACTATATACAATAAAACAATTCAATTGGATGATAAGTTGATACTTATTATTAGGTGCAGTTTTGACTATTACAAAATAAATGAATCCACTATAACACAATATCATCTATAGCTGATATTTATTATATCAGACCAGTCTATAGGTATTGTAAATAATTAATATCTTATTATTACTATAATAAAGTATAGGAGAATGGAACTGATTTCATAATTAACTAGGACAAAAATTGGATTGACGAAGATACTCTAATAATCTTATCAACTAATAAAAAAGTTATTAAGTCAAAAAGGCTAAAGTTCCAAAAAGAGTAAACATTATATTAATGAAATATATAAAGATATAATTAAACTTACTTGTAACAAATCATTGGAAGACCTTGATGGGAAAAGAAATCTATAAATCATGTTGAAATCCCAAAACTAAAAACAAGTTAGAGTATATACAACAGTCTAATAATTAAACTACTTTATAAAATTGTTCTAGGAAAAATTAAGAGAGTGTCATATAGTTTTTCTTAATGGGTTAGTTAGTATATATATTATATAATACATTTATTATATATAAATTATTATATACACAACATTATTTTGAAGTAAATAAAATCATGAAGAAAAAAAAGTTTCTCAAATATTCTTCTTGAAGTCACTTTTAGGAATGGTTAAGTTTCTCAAATATCATGAAACTTAGAGGATATCCCAATTAGATAAACTTCTTTTAAGAAAAAACTGTGAAATAGAACAAAAATCTTTTAGAGGACTTTGAATTATATTTTCTTTTTTCTCTTTTTCCAATGCTATACTTTAACAATTAATTATTTTTCAGAATAATCAATAGTAACAAACTATTGACAATAATCTTAATTGATTTAGAGATATTATGCCAAGCTACTAAAAGAGCATAATATTGTTCTTTAAATTTGACTTGAAGTATCTAATTTAAACTTAGTTTTGCTTAATCCGAACTAACTTAATAAACTCCTTATATTTTTTAAATAGTGTAATTCTTCAACCAATTTTTTTTTTTTTAAATGCTAGCTCAATCTTTATTTTATTAGATATAATTTTTAAATATCAATATAATACATATTAAAAATATAATTGTAAATCTATAAAGCTGTGATATGACTATACTGTCTCTGAAGTGAGAACTAGTGAAGGGCCATTAGTGCTAAAAAAATTTTTTATAAGGGAGAAGAAGGAAGGTTGGAAAATAAATGAGTGGGTGGGATGGTTAATCTATATATACAATTTTTTGCTATGCGACTTTTTCAAGGGGAAGAAAATTTCATTTAGAATATTCATTAAAACCCCTTAAGTATTGCCAAATATTCATTTATATATAATAATGGAAACACCAGTACGTAGTTTGATCATATTTCAGATCCCCCAATAATTTTTGCACAATATCAGTTGTGTTTCAGATGCCTTTACCTAGGTTCTTGAAAAATGCGAGAATCTCAGCCATTGCCTTTGGTAGCTGACTTGTGCTCCCTTGCGGAAGCACCCAAAACATCAGTGCGGATCATACACGGGAGTAAGATACTAATGCTCAGTAGAAAGGGAAAGTCTTTAGGATAACTACTAAGTCACTTTCTCGAAGAGATATGGGAAGGGAAGATGGGTTCAATCTCATTTAGAAATGAGAAGAGGTTGGGATAGGTGCATATATATTGATACCGGTAGGCCAATCCACAGGCCATTTTTATTGATCCTTATCGTGTGCAGGTGTAGTAAAGGCCACTATTCATACACTCCATTTTTTGTGTCCTTAAAAGCTGAGCCAAGGAATCGATAGAGAAATTAGTGCCCTATCTTCGAATCTTTATCTATTCGACAGAGCTAAAGAGAGAACCTACTCAGTGGCCAGGAGTAGATGACTACAACCATAAAATCTAGTTGTAGTATCTTGTGACCTTTACTATGGTCAGATGGACTCTTTCTTGAAAGAACCAATTATGTAAATGGAGGAGTGTCCTGTATCCACCCGCACCTAGCCAATGACTTATGGTGAACCCCAGGTTCTTATAGAGTTGAGGAAATGCATTCAGACATGTGAGGTGACCAATAGAAGCTTGTTTACATTCTTTTACTAATGTGAGCTCTATCTGTTCAATCACAGTGTAAGAAACTTTGTGCTATTTAAAATTCAGGGT